GGGAAGTACAGGTGAGAGTGCCACACGAGGATACGAGTCCATCCCCACTGTGTTCTACACTTGGAGCACAGAGAAACGTTAGGAGTGTAGAAATTGTAGCAATCTTGCCTAGAACGGAAAAGAAGACACAATATAAGTTAAGTCATTTTTAAGACTTACATATATATGACATATGAAAGCGCCTTCAAACTGGCATGGTACATACAAAGACACGATATGTATCATAATGAATATTCATTTCTATTAGTAGAGATACCAAAGATCATGGTTGTTTGATTCTGTGATAGAAATCCATTATAGCTCAAAAGCGGATAATTTTTATTATTTTAAATCAGTATAAAGTACTAATATGGGGTATAATGGGTAGGCCCTACAATAAAGTAAGTAAGTTAAATATAAATACAAAGCCAGGACTTCAACGGAACAAAATGAAAATATGATATAACAGCTCCATATGTTTTGCAAAAATGTATTATCACTTGTCTGCTAGGTGGAAAAAGTCCCAATCTGGCGTAACATTAGATAATTCGCTTTTATAGTTTATGTACGTTTGATCGCAGTAGCTCCACAGAAGGTACTGGAACCAGGGAACAGGTAAATAAGGTAACTGAATAACCGGCCACCAGATGGCACCAAAGCCAGTGTTCCAATAGATCCAATACGGGTATATCCACCTTGTCGACACGGCGCACAGGTTAGAGGGTATCGCCCTGAAAAAAAGTTCAAATTACACGTGGCCATAGACTGCATGAAAAATTACGTTTCTGTCTCTTATAGGAGCCTTAAAGTTATATAACCAATAGAGTGAGTACCTGAAAAGAGCTAAACTAATATGTATGCGTGTGCTTGCGCGCGAGTGGACCTATTATTGAAGAGAAATGTTTGTGTCGTTCATTTCTGAAATGTTGTTTTTAAAAAGGCGGAAATGCATAAAATATGTAAAACAACTATATAGACCTTGGTAAAACGATAAATTAATTATTTGAGATGTGAACACTTCTACCTTCTACTATCTAGGCCCCTACATCCAAAAATACGGCATTATGATATCGTATTTGAGGTGAGAGAGAGAGAGAGAGAGAGAGAGAGAGAGAGAGAGAGAGAGTCACATATGTAACAGGATGTATATATGAATACATGCCTTTTTTTCCTTGTCGGACTAGTTTCGTTTGGATATCCAAGATCACTGCCGTTCACGTTTTGCACATGAATGCCCAGACACGAAAGGCTGGGATCCCAGTCATTTAAACTGGTGAGTATATGAAATATGATAGAAAATAAAACGACATTGATCGAAATACAATAAGCAATTAGTTTTTATTGATGTTAATAAAGAGATAACGAAATAAAATGATCAAAAGTGCGCCCTCTGCCTTACTTGATTGCTTTGTCTTTTCTTTCTTTGATTTGTGTTGGTGATTTTGTTTGTTTGCTTGCTTACTTGTTTCTTTAATTCGTAATATTCTTTTATTTATTTTATGCTTACATTCATTTTATACTTCCCATCTTTTTTCTTGTGTTGGTCTTTAAGTGTTCTTTACAAAAAAAAAAAAAAAAAAAAAAAAAAAAAAAAAAAGAGAGAGAGAGAGAATAAATAAATAAAGAAAGAAAATATATGCATAGACTACGTACAAGGGATATTCAGGTGTCATATTTTCATCGTAACCAACGACAAATGAGGTGCCGTCTTCCAGCGTGACGTCGAATATAGTTCTGCCATTCTCTGACGTAACATTAACACTGTATTCTGCATTCACAGTCCGCCAGCAGCACGCAGCTACCACCACAAGCAACGAGAAAACCTAAATTGAAATTAAATTAATCAGTGGTTGATTATTCAGAGTTTTTTTTTACTATTTGTTAGACTGACATAAAGCCCTGCAAGTGTACAGCGTCATAGATTTCGACTTCATCTTTTAGCATTTTGCAAATCGAGGCCATTCCAGCCGCAGGCTCTATAACGTTTTGGGCATAGGCCCTACATAACCGTTTCTTTAAAAAAATATACATATCTTACCTTAATCATCTCTGAGAAGAATAGAAACGGGGTTGTCTCTTAATTTTTCAGTCAAGAGCAGTCTTATCACGCTGAGTTTCAGAAGACACTGGAAATTCGCCGGCCCCCGTATTAAATACGTTGGATTACCTTTTCAGTAGCCAGTTTACATTATTTATACTATCTACCTCTGGGTTGGGTTTAAAAAACACTCATAATTTTGAATACGTGTACTCGATGCATTATGTATGATGCCCTTAAAGTCCATTCACTTTTTGTTTATACTTTTGCGGTTTACATTAGCAAGCGACCCCGTGACGTTTGAGTACCGCTGATTTATCTGTGCTTTGTGTTGATACGTAATAAAGGTTTGTTGAGTAACATTCTCTAACATTTTAAAGTATAGATTAGAAATCATGCAGTGAATACTAGAATTTTAATAATCGATTAAGTGAGTGGTTTTAAATCTTTAAAAAAGTTTCTTGTTCAGATTGTTTAAAAAGATTTGCCGTCTATCTTGTAATTTGTTACAGTACATGTACCAAGGTATCGAGGCATTCGTGAGGAAAGGCCT